CTCACTCCCGTTCACCGAACCACCAGCCTCCCGGAGCTGGGGGGAGACCCAACTCCCAGCCCACCCTCATCTCCTCTCTTTTCGCTTCCTTCCTCCCTTCCTCCCTTCCATCCTTCCCCTCCGGTCTTTTCTCTTCATCCCCCCGCCCCTGACTTATAAAACAATCACCGGGTGAGCAGCACCATCAAGCCACATTCCCGGGGAAGCTCGTCCAAGCCGACTCCGCTGGCCCCGACTGTGGGCCGCACTGGGAGATGTGGCTTTGAGAGGTGGGCAGGGGAGGGGCTGAGCAGCTGGTACAGGGGACAGGCCCAGAGTCTAGTGAGGGAAAGAGACAAGGTCAATGAGTTAGTCCTGATAGGTTAGGTAAATCGGGAAGGTGCAAAGATACAGCCTTCCAGAAGCTGGTGATGAGTGCTGATTACACCCGACTGAATTCTCAAGGTTTTCTATGAGTTACCAGCATGCCACTTACCACACACAACAGCCAGATGCACGGCTGGAACAACCATGGCCAGTCAGGTCGAACTTGCCCGTGGTGCGAGGACAAGGTGGCGGTGAGACTCAAACCTGGGCCGGCGGGCTCCAGAGCTCAGAACCAGTTTGAGACACGACCAGTGTCTACAGGGCATCTGTGTAGCGGGCCACCTGTTGATGAGGGAGGCAGGACGGGTGTGGAGGTAGCCACTTGTCCAGCTGAGGCTTACCAACAAAGTGATGTGGCTAGCCCAGAAGTCAAAGTGAGGGGCGGAGTGTGGTCTGGGGTCTCGGATCCCCAGCTTTCCTCCTCACGCATCCCGCCCCCAGGTCAGGTGTGTCCAGACAGGTCCCCGGCAAGGCCATAAAGAGCAGGCATCAGGCCGGGCTGGGCTGGGTACTGGGCGTGGGGTGCAGCAGACTGCTGTAGGCAGCAGGGGAAAGAGGGAGGAAGCACGTTTGTTGAGGACCTGCTATCAGCTAGGTACATACAGCCCGGGGGCTTATTTACCTCTCATAGCAGCCCTGAGAGGCTTCTCAGTTCAGATGTGAGAGGGTAACAGCAAGACTGGACCAAAGCACCCAACTAGGAGGCAGCAGAACCAGAACTCCCACGTGGGGCTGGGTGCCCAAAGCCTCTGACTGCCCAGTCCTCCCTCCCCTCATACACTGCAGGCCTGGAGTTCCCTCCCACTGGCAGGCAAGGGCAGGAACTGTTCTCAGGGGGGTGCACAGGGCCAGCGCATTAGCTGGCTGGAATCTGGTGAGGACAGAGAGTGTGACCGTCTCCGTCGCTCTCCTTTGTGTTCAAGCCCACGGCAGCCTGAAGTTGAGGTCATCTGTCAGGCTGAGGCTGGGCGCCATGCCCTTGGGTCAGCCTGCCACACGCAACGTGAGGCCGGGTGCAGCTCGGCCTACGTGGGCTGGGTGTGTGGGGGGGACTGGGTGTGCCAGGTTGGCTCACTGGCACCCTGGACAGTCACATTACAGAACTTATCATTCCCTTTAGAGATGAGGAAGTGAGGCTCCAAAGGCGATGTGACTCAGAGTCAGTGCCTGGTGGAGCTGGGCGCAAGGCTTCCTGAACCAAACCATGTGCTGCGCCCTACACCCTGTGTCCAAAGATGGGCCCAGCAGCACCCACGCTGGGACGAACTCAACGGCAGGGGCTGGTGTGGCAGAGGAAGGGCTGAGGGGGCCAGGAGGGCAGGGCCTGGGGATTGGACTGCACAGGGCAAGGCCTGGAAGCAGCCCAAGTCCTGTGCCAGGGTCCATGAGGACCCAGTCCAGCGGGCACTGGTCAGCCGCACTGGTCTGATCAGTTAGGCCAGGGCCAGTGTTCTGGGCAATCCACCTAATTGACACAACACTCCCACCAGGCCATGGAGTGAGGAGTCGGGGAGACAGGTGTCAAGAACCAAGGAGAAAGCCAAGGTTCAACCAGGGGAGCAAGAGGGCAGGGTGGGCCAGGAGGACCTCTTGAGTTTAGGGAGAGCTAGATTTGATTCTTGTCTAGGCTACTTGGTAGCTGAGTGACCTTAGGTACGTTACTTAACCTTTCTGAGCCTCCTTGTGTTCATCTACAGATGGGGAAATAATTGGGGTGAAGACCTGGTGTAGAACAGCACCAGGCCGGGGTTCTGGGCGGCTGATGGAAAGGCTGGATTCTGGGTCTTGGCCCACTGACTACTCCCAGCCTCCACCTGCTGTGGGGCCGGAATTCCTTCTGGGATCCTGCCAGGGTCCAAGCTGAACAGGGAAGTGGGCTAACCTCAGCCACTGGGTGGAGGGCAGCATGGACTCAGGCCCCAACAATGCTGCCACCAAGGAAGTGAGGATGGTAACAGATATTAGAGGCTTCGCTCAGAAAGCTGACAAAGGTAAGCCTGGGCTGTACATGTAACTGCCCACGGAATGAAATCTCTCAGCTGATTTTTGGCCCTCTCTCTTGTACTTGGAGTTCCCTATAAAAGCATTACATGGTCTCAGAAGCCGGGGTCCTGCAGTGACCTCCCCCCACATCATGTCCAAGCTGATGCAGGGGCCCCGAATCTTCTCTAAGGAGCACTGGGCCGAAGATAGCAAAATGAGGAGTCTTCGGCTAATGACAGCCCCTCCTGTAGGAACAAGCATTTTCTTAGGACCTGTCACCCACTAGTTGAAGAGTCACCTCCGGTGGCCACCTCTGGCTTTCTTTGTTGAATAAAAGGAGAATGACGATGTGTGTGGTCTAGAAGATATACAAGGGCATGTACTAAAAACTGGCCCTTGGGATTGAATCAGAGACTATGAGGTAAAGCCAGCCTCTTGGGGACTCCCCCACCCTCACACTGAAAAATACCCTTCTCTTCAGCAAGTTTTGTTCACTCCCCAAAGCACGTGAGCTACTTCCACAAGCCTGCTGGGGTCACGTGAGACAAACCCCACGAGTGAGTCCAGTGCCTGGGAAGAGCGGTTTCTGAACCACTGTCTGTCCTCCTGCTGGGAGATGCGTTTTTACTTTCCTTCCTGCCTCCCCAGGAAGGAATGATCCTTTGTGAAATGCTCACGAAGGTGAGCAAAAGTCTGGATAACTCCCACCAGCCAAGCAGCCGACGTCTCCTCCTCCAGGAAGCTGCCCCCCACCCCCCAGGGCTGCATCCTCATGGCTGGCCACCCTCTTGCCCCTTCACTCTGCACTCATTTCAAATCATTTCACTCACAGGGACACCTCTTCTACTTCTGAACACTATCTCCCTTCAACCGAGCGTGTGAGGCCCCCTCTACTCTGCTCCGAGGTGGTCCCCATCTCTAAGCACAGTGATGACTTTACTTTCAAACAGACATGCCCCCCGTTTGTAAAACACCTGAGGTTGGGATGAGTCACCACCCAGACCACTGCCACCAAATGATCACCAGCATTGGAGTCGGTGAAAAAACCAAGGGAGAGATTTCAGGCTCCTGCAAGGGGAGGGGAGACAGGAGAATTTATTTTTAGTTAGAAAAAATTTTTTTCTTCTAGATATCAAGTTTCAGAAAAACTTTCAAGGGTGTCTTTTTTAATTTTGTGGCCGGAGAGAGGGAGTGTATCCTAGCCTGAAATGGTGGGGAATATAAGCTGCTCCCACTGGGTGGATTACTTCCCTGGCTAATCGGCTGTCTGCAGGACACCGGGGTGCCCGAGCTCTTCCGAGAAGGAGCGGGTGGATTTATGGCTCTCGGGGTTGCTGCTTCTTGGGGGGCAAGCTCTGTTCTTTCTGCATGACTCTCGAAAAAGAACTCCTGGGTCTGATCTAGCTCCTTTCTCTCGGATTCCCAAGCCAGCCTGTTACCCCCAAGGAACAGCGCTGCAGAAGCCTTCAAGGAACCTAAAGAAATATAAATTACTACTCATGTCAGACCATTGTGGGGCAGTGGGGCACACAATCTGAGGGTTGCCTGCTACAACAACAGCTTCAAAATACACAGCTAATCCAGGACAAACCAGGACAGAACACCACCCAGGACTGCTGGCCAAAGCTTCAGAGCTATCCTAATGTGCCTGTGGGACCGGGAGGCTGGTGGCCCCTTTTGGGACACCTGCTGCCTCTCCAAGTCTTGGTTCCACCTCTCTGCCTGCTCCTTGGCTGCGGTTCAGTCCACAGGGGCTTCGAGGAGATGGGAGGGAGGGAAGGATGAAGGGGGTCTACCTCCTGTGGGTCACAGCAGGCTGGAGATGCCCCTTGCCCCTAGCCCTGGTTAGGGGTAGAAGGGCCTTACTATTTCTGGGAATATAAAGCACAACCCCGTAGGATTCCTACACCCTGTCTTCAAATATCCTCATATTATCCAATTGGAGGATGCCATTTCCTGCCAAGACCCTGACTAATCCAGCCACCAGTTAGGCTCTCATTAAATATCCAGGTATTCATTATGCCCTTGAACCAATGTGCTTGACATATTGTAAACATGGACATGAAAAGACTTCCACCCTGGCACAAGCCATAGACCACTTGGAGGATCCCTGTCTGAACACCCAGGCCTGACCCCCTCAGTCTCTAGGACAGGGGAGCCTTCTGGAGCCCAAGTTTAGGGAATGGAGGATTCCTAGAAGGCCTGTCTTTCTGGGGTCCCCCGTCTGGTTGGCAGGTACTCTCTCATGACAGAAAGCAGGGGTCTGACACAGCCTTGGGTCTTGGGCCTGACAACTGGCCATTCCAGTGGATTTCCTTTTTGTGGGGGGGGGGATTAGGTAGGCTCCACACACCCAGTGTGGAGTCCAACACAGGGTCCGAACTCACAAGAGGATCCTGAGATCAAGACCTAAGCTGAAATCAAGAGTCCGACGCTTAACCGACTGAGCCGCCAGGTGTCCCTCCAGGGAATTTCCATTTTAGGGGAATCCCCTGGAGAGGGAGGGCTGGGAACTGTCACGTCACGCTGTCCCCTGGAGGGAGCAAGGCCGGAAGAGGCAAAGGGCCTGTGGTTGGGTTTTGGCACTGGCCTTGTAACAGCTTGGAGTCAACACCAGTGACGAAGGTCACAAGAGGCTATAAAACAAGGTGGAATGTAACCAGCAGCTAGAAAAGTGATAGGCACGCCCACTGTCCACTGAGTAACTGTGGTCACTGTGCCCCATTCAGATGTCTTTTGGTCTCCTTCAAAGGTCTCAGGAGAGCTCTTGAAAGTGGAATGTGTGCTCGGCACAGCTGCCTGCTCCCCGGGGAGAGGGGAGGCCCGGGTGAGCTTGGCTCTGTACCCGGCCCAGCTGCAGCTCCCTTCTGCACGCTGCCCCAGCCCTCCCGGCGCTGGCTCCCCATCTCACCAGGGCTCCCAAGTGTCTGTCGCACGGCACCGAAGTTCTTGCCATCACCCCCACTTCTAGATGAGGTGCACGAGCAGGGCAGAGCAGGCCGAGCCCAGGACCAGGCCCAAGCACAGGTAGAAGGACATCACCACCCCCGTGGCCTCGGCCAGCTCGCGGGGCACGATCTTCGGCCCGTACACGAGAGCCAGGGTGCTGAGGTAGCCGTTGCTGAGTCCCAGCAGGGAGGTGAAGAGCACCGGGTAGAGGTCAGACCGGAAGAGCACCGTGCGCAGGTGGACGCGGGGCTGGTAGTTGCAGAACATGAAGAGGGGGAGGAGACAGGTCCGGAGGAGCACAAGCCCGGGGAGCACCTTGCTCCTGGGCCCCGGCACCTGAATCCAGGCTGTGACCTGCCGGCCACACAGGTCGGCGAAGTTAAACAGGAGGAAGGTGGTGAGGGGGACGAAGAACTTGGTGGTCCACGGCGAGCCCGAGCCCTTGTCGAGGGACTCGATGTTGGTGGAGATGGCAGGGAAGACAAGGCTGGTGATGAAGAACAGGTAGACGACACAGAAGCCCAGGCCAGCTGTCCTCTTCAGGATGGGGCGGAGGGGTGGTATGGAGGGGTCGCGGGGCCCAGGGGCTGCCAAAGGGGCGCTGGGGGAGTCCTGGGGTGCCTGGTCTTCCCCAGAAAACACGTGGGCTGGCCAAGCAGGCCTCAGGTAGAACCTGCGGGTGGAGAGGGCTTGTGGTCAGAGGGCCCCGGAAAGCAGGCTCACCTGGGATTTCCAGGGACACGGCAGGGGACCTACAGGCCTGGTACACAAAGCCTCAGGGAGCCCTCAGACATGCGTGTCTCGGGGCGGCCATGGGGAGGCCCCCACAGTCCCTGGCCTGCCCATCCTGGTGCTGCCTGAAAGGCTGGCCACGAGCAGAGACAGAGGGAAGCAGCACTAACTGCCCCCTCTGTTTGGTCTCACTCCTTAGAGGTCTTGATGGTTAAAAATCTGGCGGCTATGGCCCTACGGATGTGCAAAAACCCCCACTCCCCCCCACCACGTGTCCTACTTAATCCCCCCCCAAAAAGTTCTGTTTCTTAAGCAAAAGTGGGATCAAACTACACACATCGTAAAACTTTCTGCAACAGGACAATTCCTAAATACAGTATATAAATGCATTACCTAGCAGCCCAAATAACATCCTTGACAATGATATAAACATGCGTGCACATAATCGCGTCTAGAACAGTATCTCGTGGCCAACCTTTAACATGGAGACACATGACCCAATGCCCCTCTGTTGTGTAGTGTATTTCATTGTATGCATATGATTTAATATTCATTGTGTGCATATACAATTTAACCATTCCCTTACTGACGGACATTAAGGTTAGCTCCAATTTCTCTCTACTACAAATAATGGTGCAATGAGTAGTCCCACACATACAACCTTGCACCTGTATGTATTTCAGTAGAGCAGATTTCTAGAGGAGGAACTTCTGGAGCAAAACGTTTGTATCTTTAAAATTTTGATAGCTGTCAAGTAAATTGCTCTCTAAATAGGTCGGACCAATTTGTCTCTGCTCTGTACCACTCACCTGCCCCATCTCCAGTGTCACCTGCCCTGTTAATCTCTACACGGTCGTTGGTTTCTTCAAAAACACTGACCACAAATTATAACCATTGAGTTAGTTTCTGGTTTATCATCTGGCTCCTTCGATAGAAGGACCATGTTTGCCTGTTTCCAGCTAAATCTCCCGGCACAGAGTAACCCTTCAAAACATAATTATAACTAATATGTCTATAAAGGTGTCTTTCCCCCCATATCCTCAACACTGAATATTATCAATATTTTCCATTTCTGCTACTCTGACCACAGTAGAAGACGCTTGGGTCACCTGGCCTCACCGTCTTGCTGTGTGACCTTGCCTGAGTCACTCAACCTCTCTGGGCCTCAGGTGCTGAAAGCCAGGAGACATAGGCTGACTGCACGACCACACCTCACACAGAAGGCTTGGTGTGGGGATGGGAGAACAGTAGCTCAGTGATGGCTGGCTTCTGGTATCAGCCCCCGTTCTGTCTCCCCATGTGACCTTAGGCCAGGCACACCCCTCTCTGGGCTCAGTCTCCTCCTCTGTAAGATGGAGGAGTGCTGCAGCTGCGAGCTTCTGAGCCCCCTGCCAAACCACCCATCCTAAGCGCCTACGGGTAATAAGCGAGTTGCTGGGACGGCTCCTCCTCTGAGCCGCTTTTCTGTGTGATGCTCAGCTGGGCACTGCAGCCCTGAACTCTGTCTTGTTCCACAACCGCTATCTAGGGAAAGGAGTATTCTTACTTCCCCCACTACTCAGTGGCAGGTCCCAGCCTGAAGTCAGCTCTGGGAGGGCTCCACCCCAAGGTGCCCTGGTCAAAGCTCTTCCTCATCAAGCTCTTCCACATCTGTCTCATGTCGCCCTCCTGGAGCCAGCAGCTCCCTCCCCCACCAAGGCCTGGGGCTCCATTCATCCTGGGGGCAGCCCCCGTGGGCTTCCCTTTTAACTATGATTTAGTCTGAGCAGCCCCAGGAGCACGGCTGTCTCCAAAGCTCCTTCCTCAGATGCGTTTCTGTAAACCTAGAAGTCTTGACCAAAGTGTTAATCAGCAAAGAAGCAGAAGCTTCCATGGGACAGCATAGCCCCTGGCTCAGTTGGGAAGGATTTTATGAGGATTTCAGTTGGAAAGTGAGACTGGAAACTAAGGTGACCAACTGTCCCATTTGCTGAGACTGTCCTGGTTTTAGCACCAAAAGACCCTCATCCTGGGAACCCCTTCAGTCCCAGGCAAACGGGGAAGGTTGGCCACCCCACTGGAGATGGAGATAGACCCATGTGAAGCACCATGAAACAGGACACAGCGACAGAGCAGGAGTACTGGGACCCTCCTGCCTTTTGTCCGTTCCATGACTCAAACATGGTGCAAAGGACACAGCTGTGGAAACAAATCCGGGTTCAAACCCCAGTCTGCGACTCACCAGGGGAGCAGCCTGGGCACGTCTATTAACTTACAAAGCCTCAGTTTCCTCATCTGTAAAATGGGGAAGGACGGTAACAACTGCACACAGTTGTCACACATGAGAAGTGAAAAAAAGACACCCAGGCATAAACCGCTGAGCTCAGTGCCACTATACAACATGGGTCCCTGTGGGAAAGGGCAGAGCCAGGGCCTGGGCCTCCCCAGCTCAGCCGGCTTGCCCACTGGGCGGCCACAGGCTGGCCCCCTGGCCTTCTCTGGCTCTGCTTCTTCACCTGTAGAAAGGGGCAAATAATTCCTGCTTCTCCTACATCAAATACAACAGTGGATTGGAAAATGCCTTGCCAAGAATAAAATGTGAGAAAAAGTTAAGGGCTATTGTTAAAAGAGCAGCGAGAAGCACAAAGAAAAAGGAGGGATGAGAGAGAGAAAGCGTGAGAGAGGCTGAAGTGAGAGAAAAGGTCCCCCAGGGGGAGGGAGGCCTGGGGAGACGGTGAGTACAACTCAGCTCTGGGGTCAAGGGGGCGCTCAGGCACGACGTTCAACCTCGCAGAACTAAGCCGGGGTTCTTGCGTGTGCATGGGGCCGGCCGTGATGCACCGTAGTGCTGCACCCCACGAGGAACAGGTGCCTGAGCCCCAGGGGAGAGATGGCCCATCAGGCCGGGCTGAGGACAGTGCAGAAGCGGCAGAGGTGCTCCGC